CCAAGAAGAGAATACAGAGTGATGGGTGTAAGTCTACAGCAGAGAAAATTCAGGTTAAATAATTGGAGAAACTTGATAACCAAAAGGACAGTTGGGGCAACAGAACAAGCTTCTAGACAAGAATCATCATCACTAGGGATACTCAAGGCTGGATTAGTCACTGGTCCATCAGGGATGATAGGAAGAATTAAACCAGTTCTACCATTGTGAAGGGGATGGACTAAAAGGCCCACTTGGGATCCCAGCCTCAAAGAGTCTATGTACAAAGGATGCTATATAAAGTAAGCTGTCTTAATCAAAGTGCACTATAAAGAGAAGAAAAGTTACACAGAGATGAGAAGAAACAGTGAGACAGAATAGAGAGGGAAATGCTTGACAAAGTTACATGCAACAACTCCTTTTATAGAAGCAGAAAAGGGAAACCCCACATGTGATGATAGAGTAGAAGGAAAGAACACTGGAATTTAAAAGAAGATGCAAGTAAGTATATTTGCAGATTAGTTACAGTGAGGTGGGGGAAGGAACAGAAGGAGGAAGAAGAAGAAGGGTATGTCTACATTGCTGCTGGAAGCGTGCTTGCCAGCACGGACAGATAGACATGTGCTAACAGTGCTTGAGCTGGTACACTAAAAATAGCCGCGTAGCTGGGGCCAGCACAGGTAGCAGCTTGGGCTAGCCATCTGAGAACAAACCTGCCCACACACCCTGGGGTAGCCCATGCCAGGCCCGGGCAGCCCCCAGCTACAGTGCTATTTTTTGTGAGATAGCTCAAGCAGAGCTAACATGAGTCTGTCTACCCATGCTGGAAAGCATGCTCTCAGCTGCAGTGTAGACCTACCCTAAGTAGCGTCTCGATGACTTAGCACAGGTGGACCACTTCAGACAGATGGAAGAACGTCAGCTAGTCTAGTTCAGAAGCTAGAGTTGATCACAGTTTTTTGTTCCAGAACCCAAGCTATGAAACTTCATATAATGTTGATGAAGTTTTACCAGAGTGAAGATGTTTGATTTTCAAAGACAACCAAATCATGGATAAGAACACAGCTGAGGTGAGACTTCTCTGGCTGGTGGATCCCACGGGGCAACATTTATGACCATATGTCATCAATTGTCCTTTACTGTCATTTATACATTCATTCATTCACTCTGCCCTTCATTTGAAACTTGTACCCTGTTGTTCATCTGAAGCTGCTGTAGTAGGAGCTCCCCAGTCTTCCCCGGGCTATGTTGGGTTTGCTATCTAGCATGGTTTGGTACCCTGGCACCTACTTAGCCTGGATGTATGGCCCTATATCTCCTAGTTATGTATTCAGGCTGTGTTTGTAAGTGGCAGTACACATTCCTGCCTACAGCCCTCCCACATGGTCTCCTCTCGGTCCCCCTTTTCAAGGGTATCTGGTAGAGCTGGTCGAAAATGTTCAGATTGACCAGTTTTCCATCAGACAATGCTGATACAACAAAATGGAAACTTTTCCCAGGAACATATCAATGTTGTTGTTATTTTTTATGAGAAATTATCAAAACATTGTTTCAACTTTTATGTTACATTAGAATGTAATATAAAAAGTCAAAATGTTTCAACCATTATAGTATGTTGTATAACAAGTCAAATGAAATATTTCAGTAAGATTGAAATAAGATTTTCATTTCACAAAAAATTCCACATTTTTGACTTTTCATCTCGATTTGGGACAAAACCAAAATTTTCCTAAGGGACAAAAGTTCCATTTTTCAAGCAGCTCTAATTTCTGGACCAGCCAACTGGGCAAAATCCGCTCAGGTGGCACATAACCAATTACCTGTCCCCACTTGGTCAGGGCTGAGTTCCTTCTCTGGAGTAGCATTGCCATCTTCCAGTGGAAGGAGGTCTGCCAGCAATAAGTCAGAGGCGAAGAAGCTAACAAGGGCTCAGGGGTTAGCTCCTTCACAGCCATGCTGCTGACACATGGACAGGTAGCTTCTCACAGACCTTTATGCGAGTACTGACAACTGTTGAAGTAGATTCTGTTTCCTAAGTATAGTTTTATAAATGGGAAAGCAGAGCTGGTCAAATTCCTCAAAGAATTTTCTGTGACTATATCCTTTAAATAAATAAATAAATACTTCAAATCAGTTCTGTCTGTGCTCCTTTTGTGTTTGTTCATTTTCCACAAACATTCAAGCAACCAAATTTACTGGCAGGCATGTTTGTGGAAACAGAATATTTGGAGTGAAAATTAGAGAATATACAGGAAAAGCAAATTCTGGACTCATGAAGGCAATCATTCACACCAGTAACGTGATTCTAAGAGTAATGAGACAGGGAACAGAAACGATACTCTGTAACCTGCATGCTCCCATCTAAAACTAACCAATCTAGCTGTGAATTTATACATTGAATATTGGGAATTAACGTTCCCCAAACAATCTATAGATCAAGATATAATTGTAGAAAATATTTGGCAAATAATTTTGAAGAAGAAATAAATTTTAAAAAATCTTAAACTGTTTGCTGACAATTCATTAACAGAAAAGGGGTCTAAATGTGCCAAATAAATTATTCACTACAAATTATTTATATAAGTTCTAATGAATATTAAAAGGGAGGGAGAAGATGGCACTATAGCTGGAGCAACCCTCTTTCCGTTCCCCCATAGTAATGTAAAAGAGTTCTGTTACCTATAACAACCTTCTCTTAGCCATCTTCGTTGGTCCCCACTTCTGATCATAAGTTTATTAAAAACGAAAGATTTCAGCCAAAGTGAGTGGGAAAGATTTATTTTTCAAAACAAAAAGTAAATTTATACTCTAAAATGTAAACCAGGAATTAGCAATGGGCAAAACTACATCGGTACAACATGCACCATAACCTTGGCTTCAGCTAAGATTTCTGTTGCCTGTGTTGATCTCTTTGATGTGTCACATACTATCTGTGAATCACCTCTTTGCATGTCACTAAGGTGCCTGGGTGAACCCACAGCTGAGCTAAATCATTTATACTCTCACTAGGGAAATGGGAGTGACCAGAAAAGAGTCACAATGTCTTCAAAATGCCTATAATCCACAGAAGTGCCCTTGCATGTGGGGGCATTTCCAAGAAAGGAGATATAGACAATCCCACACACACATCCACTCTCACTGAAAGGCTCAGGATTTTCAACAGAAAATATGTGTTGAACTTCTGGACAATCCTTAGAAGGGGAAATTTCAACCCTCCAATGTCAAAACAGATCCTTAAATATAAACCTGCAGAGGTGCCCCCCATCCTTTCAACCTAAAGAGCTCCTCCTCCTGTGATGAGGTTATACTCATGTGCAGACATATTAGAAACCATTCTGCCCATTCAAGGCTTTACTTTCTCCCTCCCAAATCAATTGCACCATTAAGGAACTCCATCCCTAGAGTCCCCATAGTATTTGCATTGCCAAAGCAAGACATTTGGAATGCCAGTCACAACACCATACAAGGGTCACCCAACCTCACCATGAAAGAGCATGGCTGGACTGTGGGGAATAAACCTTTCATGTATGTTCCAGATTTCTTCATTTTTTAAAAACTACAGATTCATAGATAGCAATTGTGATTACTGGTCTTTTGGGGCTGGAAGAGTTGGGAGGTTGGGGGCAGAAAGGAGTGGGCGTACCAACTCATCCCAAACCCACCAAAACATTTTGGAGCTGTGAAATGAAGATGGTCACCTCTCCTCCTGACACTATTAGCTTTCAGTGAAACAAGATGGGTGAGGTAAGATCTGTTATCGGACCAACTTCTCCAATAAAAAAATATTACCTCACACACCTTGTCTCTCTAGTATCCTGGAACGGACTCAACACACAACAACACTCTGTTAGCTTTGGTTAGTTACCACTTGCTATGCTAAGTGGTATCTGACAGCACAAGTTCCCAATGAACACCCAATCTATGCTAGGTATTGAAATGGGAGCTTCTGAGAAAGACAGAGATTTGGCCCAGCATGTCACTCACTGAATCGGATGTATTGAAGCAAGAAAGTGTTGAAAAGAAGAAGAAAAAATGCCAATGGACAGATCCTAACTTTAAAAAAAATTCATAGTATGCCAAATTCTGGAGTTCTTCCTCACAGGCTGACACCCTTGCTTGTTTTGAGTAATGCCTTACTTCACCTGCAGTCCCACTGGAACCCATCACAGAGTCAGCTATTACTCACAGTGAGTCAGGGTACATCTACACAGCAAATTAAGGTATGACAGTAGTGTGGTTAGGCTCATCCATGCTAGCTTTCATCTAGCTAGCTAAGGTAACAATAGTAGTGACAATATGGAAGCATGGACTTCAGCATTGGCTAGCCGCCTGAGCTGCATACCCAGGGTCCCTGGCAGGAGGCACTGGGGCAGCTAGCCCACACTGAAGCCTGTGCTACCACACAGACACTACTGTTGGTACTTGAGCTAACTAGATTAATGCCCACATGAGTATGCCTACCCAGGCTACAATCACACCTTCCTTTGGTGACAGAACTGGGCAGTCAGGTTTTAAGCAGTGCTTACCGAGGCACAGCTCCCACTGATGTCCCTAAGAGCTCTGTCTGAGGAAGGGCTGAGAGAGTTAGGACTTTGAGATTTAGCCCACTGAGATTTAAAAAGGGATTGAAAGAAAGGAAATCGCCACAAAAATAAATGAGAGATACACAATGGTGAAGTACTTTTGTCAGAGATTTTTGAGTTAAGCTTTTGTTTGTAACAATCTGAAACAGAGAAAGAAATAGAGGGTGAATCTTACAATGGGGTGCGGGGAGAGAGAGTGTTAAGGCAGAGAAGCTACAGAGAGAGAGAGAGAGAGAGAGATTGACAGAGCATGAGAGGTGATTTCACTTTCTTTCCTTCATGCAAAAACCCCCAACAGCAGCAGCAGCAGCAGGTGAAAGACATGCAAGTCAGAGAACAGCAGGACTCTTTGCTGGAAAGGAGAAGATGAAGCCTTGATTGCATTTGAGCTGGTTGGACCAGGCCGGAAGCAGAGCTGGTGGTTTGGGTGTTACTTACTGTCACAAACGTAAGGTTTGTCATGGTCATCCTGGGAGGCAGCATCGTTCCTTCTCCTGCCACCTCCAGATCCCCGAGCCTACAATGAGAATAAGGATGTTAACGCCATTCCGGTGCCCCTCACAGCTTTCAACTTGCCCCAACCAGTATAAACTATGGACTAAATGCATCTTTGACTTCAGTAGCGTTACATCATTGTAACCAGATTACTAGGGCCCTGCCTTTTCCTAAAACACACTGTATATTTATTGAGCTTTCAATGTGGCAGAGCTCCCTTAGAGTAGAGATCCCTACCTGATTAGTCATAGTACTATAATGATTCCTGCCTCACTGCCATGGCATATTTCAGTCAAGTCACAGGAGGTGGTGTTCAAGTATTGAGCCTAATCAATGAATGAATGAATGGGAGGGCATAAATCCATTTGTGGCTAGAAGTAACACGATTGAAATCAGTCTGAAAACAGGCTCATAATATTATGAGATATAACTATGATTCTTTCCTTTTAATATTTTTAAAGTACATCTTGTGCTGGTGAAAGGTGCTAGCCCAAAAGCCCAGGAGACTGAGGTCCTTGGTTTATCCATAAAGTGCTGCCCTGCATATGTGCATCAGTGTTGATATGAACACCAGGGATAAGAATGGAGTTCAGTGTTAATGCCATTCAATCTTCACTATTCTCAGCTGAGATTGCCACCTTGGGTACCAGTTACAATGGTCAAGGTTGCGATGTGGATTATTTTATGTCGGCCAATGGACAGTCTTTAAATGATAATAACTTTGGGCCTGATCTCTATTCAAACTAGTGATCTCAAGGGAGAAGGTTACATGGCCCTTTCCTAATACTCTGAGCCACTGAGTCCTCAGGCAAAAGCAACACACCTCAATTGTTTCAGTCTTCCAAATAGATAAGTCCTTGGCTCCTACTTTCCCTCCTAGAGCTAACTGCTCTGAATCCCTTTGCTTTTTGTTTGAGAGAATATGAAATTGAAGCAGCATTAGCAGGTAGAACTGAAGATGATGCAGAGATGTAGAAAGTAGTATTAGTGTCCCAAATACTAAAGGGTTCCATGGGCTAACCTTTGCATCTCCTCGATGTACACTGAATAGCACTCAAGTTAACTGAGCCGTATTCCATCATGGGTCTGAAGACAAGGCATGAGGGACAGTTTTACACGGACATACCATTGGTCGATGATGAAAAGAGGGACTTACATAAACTGCACAGGTTAAAATGAACCCCATCCCATTGGGTTGCTCAGGTCTCCAGAACAAACCCAAGAAAGCCTCTTAACCACTTGGATGGAGTAGGACTAAGCCTATCCTCATTGTAATCCTGGAGGAGAGGGACAGATTTGTGACTGGCTGGATGGGGTGGATACTGTTAGGTATGATCAGTAGAGTTTTGCCTCCTGCAAGCAGAGTTCAAAGCAGGGCACTACATTCTGACCAGTGTGTGATCTCCTCGAGTGAGTCACATGTAAATCAAATGAAATGTAGTGAGGTACAAACTCCACATAGTAACTACAAACACAATCTTTAAGGAAGCTGATGTGCATCCAGGAAACAAGATTTGTAAGAATAAATTAAAGGGTGCGTCTACCCTGAAAAATGATTCTGCAATAATTGATTTATGCGATCCATGTTCATTGTCTCTCAGTGATTCAATATCAGGTTCAGTGCTCAGTTTACAAATAAAAAAAGATTATTTTTTTTCCTGATTGCCAGCTCTGCAAACTCACCCTAGGCGCTGAGAGTAAGCCTAGGTTCCTTCCTTCTCTCAGCACAAGCCAAATCAGGCCCTTAGTGACACCTGTGCAACCCCACTTTCTTCCGTGGGTTAGCACAGGTGTAACTGATTGGACCTTAAACAATTCTATTGATGGACAGACTAGACTCCAACCCCCTGGCCAGGCTAGGGGCACTGGTTCTGCAGGGCAAAGAGGAATAAAAGAGCAGTAAAGACTTCTTTTTGGCACTAGTTAGCAGTATGACTCTGTAGACACACAGGGAGCAGATCTGTGGAGTAAGGTGGTGTCATTTTAATATAATCACTTTTCAGAGTAGAATGGCAATTTAAGATCCATTGCTTAGCATTTTACAGCCAGCTGTTTCCCTTCTAACTGTCCTTTACAGAAATACAAGTGCAAAGCATTCATGACATGACCACATATACTCTTTTTCATAAATCAAACATGGGGAGATTTTCAGATTGAGTCAGTGTCTTTCAGTAGGACATGGCTCCTAAACTCCTTTGGCATTTTTGAAAATGTCCCCCCACACCCCCCCGTATGTACTTGAAGAGCACTTGTACTGGACATGTGCAGCTGCATTGCTTTTATATTTTTTAAACAAACTTCATGGCCCAGCTCCATCCAACAAAGATTTTAAAAACCTCTGTGTGAATCCATCTCCTTGGCCTTCAGTCTCTTTACTAGCACATCCATTATTTCAGAGCTAGCCTTAGGGGGCCAGAAAACCAGGCAGTCACCCCAGGGGCACAAAACTGAATGCCACGTTCATGCTGTCAGGGCTTCAGTCTGTTGGATTCAGTCATCCACAGCTGCCTTCATTCTCCTGCTGGCATGCAGCAGGGACTAGGATACTTGATGTATGAAGCCTGGAAGCCTCAACAGAGCTGATTTGAAGCAGCTTAATGGAGCCAAACAGAGAGAGTAGCCAGAGGGACAGATGTAGGGTCCAGAATTAAAAATAAAATCATGCTGTAGGAAAAGAAAGGGACACATAGAATTTGGAATGTTCAGAGCAATAATTCTGCTGCATTAATCCTGTGTCAATGCCTTCAGTCCTCATTTGTTCTCCAAATAGCAAGAGGTTTATGGGCCAAACTTTGCAGAATCTAGTTCCCTTCAGCATGTCCTCCCCTGTAGTCTACCAGCCTTTAACAATACCCTATCCCTCCTTTCTAGGCAAGGAAGTGCAGTCCTTTCTCGGGTTCAGCTTTCAAGTCTCCTCAATTTTGACCCCTTTGTCCTAATTCCTACTTCAGGTTGCATACTTCGTGAGGAGCAGGGCATTTCAAAAGCAGACTTCCAGTTTACACCAGCTGAGGAGCTGGCCCTACATCTTAAAGTATAATTCTGTTTTGGTTCAACATGCTGACTTCACTCAATTAAAAGTTTATGGCATTTCTCCCCTCTGCATCCTCATCACTGTGAGAAGTCAAGGTCACCAGCAGAGCAGGACTCACTAGCATGGCAAGGGAAAGAGATTCTATTGTGGCTGGTTGCACTGTGCCCGCGCTTAATAAGGGGCTCTAGAACAGAAAGCAAGATATAAATGTATGCTTCCAGATGGATGAGAAGAATAATTAAATGCTCCCAACCCCCAGAGATTATTTTATTTATAATGGTAAAGCTAAACAATTAGTATTGATTTCACAGAGCTTTCTGGAGAGGGGAGTACAGCAGTGCATGTAACAATAACAACATCAGAGCATTGTTTGTATGGGTTGAGGATGCATGGAAATGAATGCCAGGAAATATAATTCTCCTTTCCCGACCTAAATATCTTTTTCACTATCCATTTGATCCTTCATTTCCAATGACAGGAATGCCCAAATTCCATGGCAGGAAGTTTATTACGAAAGGCCCACGTAGCTGAAGTATTAGTGATAGCTATAGTTAAGGTTGTATGAGTGTATCCATTCTAACCCATTTTTGATTACTAAATCATATAGTTTTCTGAAACTCACCCTTTTCTGGCTCTGTTTAAGGCTAAATTTTAAAAAATATTAAAGAAAGATTCAGTCAAACTGTTCAGCCAATTTTGATAATGGGGAGTGAAAAATACACTTTTCCAATTAAAAAAAAGTATTTTGATCTTTATTCAAAGAGTCGTAGCACAAAAGTGAACAATAGCAGGAAGCTGAAATAATGGAACAACAGAGGGTTTGCACAAACACGTTATGAGTGAGGTTTCAAACAGCTCTTCTTATTTTTTTAATTTTATTTTTATCTGTTTTTTATCTCAAGACATCCACCAAGCACACCAAAAGGCATGTTCAGAGATTATGTGCCCTTGCAGCTCCCACTGCACTCAATGACAGATGCAAGTGCCCAGCACCTCTGAGAATCCTGTTTACTTTCATTTAGGGGGCTATCTTTAGGGATCTACATTTGAAAATTTTGACTCCATGTTTTAAAATTGTGACCTTGTTACTTAGCTGACTTACTGCTAGATCTGTGAGAGGACATGATAGGAAACTATAGGGATGTTGTCTCCTGAGAGTGAAATCCTGCCCCATTTAAATCAAGGGGAGTTTTGCCATTGATTTCTATTGTGCCGGAATTTTACCCTTAGAGTGCTACTACAAACTTTCACTGCTGACTTTATCTTTGAAGAACATAGAGAAATGTATTTAAATTGTTAAACAAAAAACAGAAAATCAAAGATGACTTTGTTTTGGCTTATGGGACTGCAAATATTTTTTGCATTTATCTTTTAGTAAGGAATGGTATTTCAAGGTCAGCGGATTGTAATAACAGGATAATAATAATCATCATTATTAGATTTTATTTTAAAAATAAAAATTCATCCCTATAATAAATTTGCTCCATCTTCTAAGTCTCCCAACAGTGTTATTTCTTAGTAATAGGCAGAAATAAACTGAAAACATGAGAAGACATAAAAATCACTGACTGTCATTCCACAATTTACCACATGGATATCACTTCAGCATATCTGTGTGTGTGTGTGTGTGTGTGTGTGTGTGTGTGTGTGTCAGAAACCAACTGAGAATGTGAGAATAGGGGTTTGCTTCCCTTCTTTCCTCTCTCATAGATTCCCAACCTACCCGTCCTCTGGGCCTGTTCTTTCGTTTTGGAATATCTTCTTCTAATTCCTCTTCCTCATTCACTTCATCAGCATTTTCATCATTTTCCAAAACTCTCTATAGGGAACAATAATCATTTTTAGAAGAAAAGACGATTGTTTGCTAGAAGACACACATGGTCAACTATTATTTACAATTGAGATTGTGGTAATGCCCAAAATGTGCTCTTCAAACACAAAGAGAGAGACAGTCCCTGTCCCAAAGAGATTTCAGAGGTAAAGACAGACAAAAATGGATATAACATGCAAACAAGAGGTCTAAATAGGTGATTAAAATTACAAGTGTACTAATTCTCTAATGCCAGAATCAGATCCAAGCATCCCCAATTCCTTCCAGTCAACACCCTCAAAAGTTAGAGAGTTCCTCCCTCACCCACCCTCATTTCCACAGGGAAATGGTTCCTGAGAAATACCAGTCTTAAGGCTGACATCCCAGACACTAGCAAGACACAGTCTAGGGGGTGAGGGGGTCGTGGAGATTCTCTTCTGAAATTAACTCTTAGAAGATGTAAATCAACATTTCTTTCCCTAGTAGTCTACAATTTTTCCCATTTAGTGAAACATTCATTTTCTGCGTTTCTAATGGCCCTTGAAATTAATATCATTTTGGGGTACCAGTACCTTAAGTAGCTATACAGCTCTGGAAATAAGGGGTCCTGATCCTGCAAAGTGCTGAGCAAATGTCATTCCCACTGAAGTCAATGGGAGTAGCAATTGCTCATCACCTCACAGAATTGTGCCTGGGATTTGTTAATTTTTCCTGTTTTTGTGAATTCCATGCTTGGGGAAAGGTGTCCCATTTGGTAGCTCTGGAAGCATCCACAAAGCAGATATAGCAAGCAGTGACAGTGCAAGCTTCCCCCACAATACTGAGATGGAGCAAACTCCTGTTGAGGTGAAAGGATTATTCAATCTTCATAACCCACTCAGTCCTTAGCATCTCTGCTAAGAGAGCAAAAAGGGGCCACCCAGTGTCAGTCATGATATGAGTGCTTATTCTTTAGGAGCTGGTCTGAAACCACTCAGACAGGCCACCACTAAGTCTTGAGATGGCAACATCATTTCGCCATGAAACGGATTCAAACCACTGAGTTAGAGGTGATCGAAAGGTTTTGTAATCGGTTACCAAATTCTGACCTATCCAGTCTCCTGGATCATTATTAGTTAAAAGCTGCTACAGAGCCAGCAGAGGGAGAATAGGAGCAAAACACATTAGTTTTGAGCCCTGTGTACCTTCGGCATTGACTGCTCAGGGTGCTGGGAGAGAATACACAGAGAGATTTCACTGACAAGGGATTTAGAATCTGGAGGACCACCTGAACCACATTATTATAATCTTATCCGTTTACATTTTTGAGCCAAGATATTGGACATTTGTCACAGTTTCAGGGCAATTGCACCTCTATTCCCCCTCCATGGTCCACCAAGGGCACCCACTTCTAGGGTCCCGGCTCCCAGCCATCACCTCTCACCTGCATCTCACTCATGCCTGTGTTGCCCACAGTTATGTTACCACACAGCTCTTTCTAAGCAAGCACATTTATTCTTAAAGTGAAAGCATTACAGAGGAACATATTAAAAACAACAAAAGAACCTGCACGCATGCTAAAAATCTTACCAGAGATCACCCCACAACTCTAACAAGGACTCTGCTAGGTGTCAGTCCTTCAAAATCCACAACTGGGTTTTCCCCATGGTTACAAGTTCATAATTGTCTCAGATTCAGAACCAGAACCCAGGCAGAGCAGTTCAGCTGTTTCTTTACTTACTGTCCCAAAAGTCCATTTTTTGCTTGCACATCTTCAGTATAGTCCTTTGAACTCCCAGGCCTCATAATAATACACAAACTTTGCATTTAATATAATGGACACCAAAGATATTTAAAACTTAATTTAATAACGTCTCCCGAAGAAAGGCAAGAAATTGCTATATCTGTCATGGTGTCCCTTAAAAAAGTTTAAATAACCTGTAGAGTTTGGTGGGAAGTCTAATATCTGTAGGGTTTGGGATTTATGTTTCTCTCTTTTTTAATGCCTAAGGGGGCCATTTATGGGATCAAACTATTGTGAGTCTTCTCCCATAATTTTAGTTCCTGGAAGGATGAAACATTAAGTCACTGCCCATCACCACATATAATTATTATTTCAAAATTCACACAGTTACATATATTGGTAGGGGCGACTTCATACTTTTAAAGTCCAGAGGATGCCTGAAGAATTTTTGTTCCTGAAGAGATAAATGCTATGTAAAAAATTTTGAAAACTACTTATAACATCTTCCATTTTCACAGTGCCTTTCAACTCCAGCAACTCCATTCTGTATCAGCAACACTACACAACAGTATTAAGGAGGGATAGTGTAGAATACTTTCTCCAGTTGAAATTACAGGGCAAATTCAAAGTAGGCAGACCAATTAACCACATGTGAACATGGCCAGGGTGCCAGGTAATACCTCTAATTCTTGTGGAAAATGCCAGGTCAACTTTTAATGACTGATCAAAGACTTTGGTTTAAACCTATTCCAAAAGATGATGCCGTTTTCACCCCACTTGAGGCATTGGTTCAACAGTGATCTCACATGCGGCCAAATCTCAATTCATGTAAATAGTAGATGAACATCTGGCCCATAGTGACTGCACCTATTTAAGAAGGGGCAATCTTTATTCTTTTTTTAGCAAAATATCTATTATTTTCCTACTCTGTCCTTCCAAAACACTCTTCCAATTCACCATATTTTAATGCAGGTAAGCAACGAGTCCCTGCTTTTCTCCCAATCCACATTAAGGGCTAGAGTGAAAGTTTACTCTCAGCCCATAGTAAAGGGCAGTTCCTAGCTGGGACCAAGGAGGGAATTATGACTCTGTTCATGCTCCCCCATCTGCATGGGAGGAGGAGTAGCAGCCCCACAGAGACTGCTTCCTCCTGGACCTTCCCAAGCTGAGACTAGCAGAATGTGTAGCCTCTGTAGAGGAGTAAGAGGGAGACTTGCACATACACACACGCAACCTCCCTTACACCTCTACATGGGCACAAAGAACTAATGATGATCTTGTCCAACTGTCCAACCATCCCTACCACCTGCTGAAAGTGAGCTATGGTTAAAGTAATTGTTGCGCAGACTGAATCCAACAAAGCTACACATGCATAGGAAACAGCAGCAAGGAAAGCCTCTCATCAGCTCCGTGATGAAACCGGCATCCATAAGACAGGTCACAGCTCAGAGAGTACAGCTGAAGGCTCCTTGTACAGACACTTCTTCCCTCCCCACTTTGTAATGCAGTGATGCCAAGACTGCTGTCAATTCCGCTGTCTCTGAAATCTCTTTCCTCAGGCTGATGCCAGGGATAACTTGGGAGCTCAGATTGCACAGCAGCATCCAAAGGCACTCATAAAGATGCTGCACCATGACTTCTGGTGACCTTGGAAGCAGCTGTAATAGAGTCTTTAGGGCGTTGAGTTTATTAAAGTCAGAAAAGGGGAGATGAAGGAGGCTTTTCACATAGACCTCACTGTGAACATGGAATGCTTCTCCTTTGGCAATTTTCCATCCCACAGAAAAGAAGGTTCTCATTTAAAGGGATGTGAAACAGATTAAAAATCATTACCTACATTTTGGGTGCACCAAGGTGCAGGCCATCTGTCTTTTGAAAAATCAGGTTCCTTTATTGTGTCCCAAGCTGGGCACTACAAAACTGAGGCTTACAAAATCACAAGTCACTTTTGCAAATGTAGACATATATATGTACAGTGTTTCCTTACATATGTCACTAGTAGCTCTAATCCTGCAGCCCTTACATAGGTGAAATTTCAGTGAGGCTGCTCGCAAGCGTAAGTGCTGCAGGATTGGGTTCCAGAGCTATGCAGATTTGATGCTCGTGATTTTCAGTTTTGATCTCTGTTGGGCCACATACTTGAGTTTTGCTTCAAGTTTCAGGAACGAACCCCAACACTTGCATCTCAGCCAGAATCACCAAGTTTTGCCAGTTTCACGTGATTCACACTAGAAACCACAGATCGGTGTAAGTTCATTCTGAACGCAGCTTTCAGCTCGTTCAAAATTTGCCTCTACTTCCCTGAAAGGTTTGCAAACCTCAACAAAACTGGCCAGAGTCAAAGATTTCATTATGAACATTGCATATAACTCTTCTGGTAGTCCCTTAGATTAGCAGGATCCTAGCTATACCAGAGACCAGCAACTAGTTTTTACTTTTAATATTGGTAAATGATCAGAAGGCAATCCTTATTATTTAATATTTAAAGGGATAATGGAAAGATATAAATAAAGTTTTCCCTGCCTGTGTTACTAATAATAACTGGGATTATTAAAGATGAAAGAAATTAAAAACACATTCATGCTATTTGCTTTCAGACATTCTGTTTGGACAAAGAAAACAGACTGGCCAGTGCCACTTTTTTTTTTTTTAAATCAGTAGCTATGGGCCCAATTTAAGATCAAAATCTGAACTCTCCCAAAGCTCGAGGCTGTTGAGATCCAGTTTATGGTTTGGACTCATCTCTCTCCACTAGTCAGTCGCGTAGCTGATAATCTCACGTGTACAATGCTGCCGTGTTTGGGTTGCAAGCCATCAAGAACTTGTCAGGCAGTCCCAATTCTTGTGACACTTTTAGTTATAGTTTTGGATAGTTATACAAAATTCTGAATTTATTTTGAGCATCACAACATAGTGTCAGGGTTTCATGACATTCCGTGGCACATGGGTATGATATCACTATGCATTAATACAGCATTCTGACACAAAGGCACAAACTGCAAACATACAAATGATTTGGGTTTGGAGAATGAAAGGTAAAATCTTAAAGGCAGCCCTGCTGTCCCAGTCTGGAGACATATGGTGCAGCCAACATAAATGCTCTTTTTTACCTGGATTTCCTGTATAGTGTCTTCCTCTTTAGTATCCACTTTTTTCTCAATTCCTTCCCCGCGCAGCAAGGCTTCCAGTGTGGTTCCCTCTGATGTGAACCCATCCTTCTTCAAAGGCAGATCAACTTCTGAGAAACAAAACAAAGAGATTATGTCTATTGCCTGTGCACACCTGCACAGCGGAGGGAGCAAGAGGATAGGTAGCAGGTTGCCTGGCTCTTAACCCTATTCCCATTTTAAAGAAGAGGGAGAAGTACTTTAGTTAACCTCTAAACAGGGGATTCATTTCTAGCTTGCTGAAGCTCTGGGACCTTTTCAATTTGCTCTGTTGGGTTGCAACAAAGGAAGGCTGAACATATTATCTTGTAGGGGAATAAAAACAAAAACCATTCTCTTTTACATGAACTCCCCATACACCAAATGGGAAGAAAAGCCACATAGCTTTTTAGAGCAGGTAGCTAAAAATATTAAGGTCTTCTCCCAAAAAACAGGATATATATATTTGGCACCGTTCATGATACTCAATTGTGTACAGGATCATTTTACATCAGGGGCCAAGAACCAGACTTTTCAGGGGTAGGAAAGGGGGAGAAGAGAGATCATACAGTGGGAGACTGCTAAGAATTAATAAAAATAATTAGGGGATGTGCAACCAAATATTGATTCCCACTTTTCTTATTTAGGCCCAGAGTCTACAACCCTTGCATGGACTTCAATGGGACTACTTCCATGAGTAAATATTACTCAGCGTATATAAGGATTGCAGAATCCGGCCCTTGTGAGGTGGAACCTAACTCTAGTTCTCCCACTGCCTAGAGCAGTGGTTCCCAAACTTGTTCCGCTGCTTGTGCAGGGAAAGCCCCTGGTGGGCCGGGCTGGTTTGTTTACCTGCCGCGTCTGCAGGTTCGGCCGACTGCGGCTCCCAGTGTCCGCGTTTCGCTGCTCCAAGCCCATGGGAGCTGCTAGAAGTGGCACGGGCCGAGGGACGTACTGGCCGCCGCTTCCAGCAGCTCCCATGGGCCTGGAGCAGCAAACCACGGCCACTGGGAGCCGCAATCAGCCGAACCTGCGGACACGGCAGGTAAACAAACCAGCCCAGCCCGCCAGGGGCTTTCCCTGCACAAGCGGCAGAACAAGTTTGGAAATCACTGGCCTAGAGCATGTGCCCCCATTAAAAAAAAACACAAGGATTAATGAGGAAGCTTGATGCAACATGGCACACAGAAGAAAGAGCCGACAGTACGCTAGTTTTGGATGGCTATCACTCACGGCTGGCCTTACCATGAGGCGAACTGAGGCGGCCGACTCAGGTGCCAGACTGTGCGGGGGCACCACTAGGACCCAGAGTGTAGAAAATTGTGTCTGGTGCATATGTATTCTCTCTGCTCTAGATGCACACAGATGGTGGAGTGCTGTGCTGGAGGAAGGAGGGCACAAGAGACGTAACAGGCAGGCAGGAGAAAAGGTGAGAGGGAATAACAGAAAGCAGCAGGAGCTGCAGGGAGAGAGAGGACGAGGAGCCTCTTATGTACCTCTCTAGCACCCCCAGGAGCCTGGACTGATTAACACCAGCTTCTCAGGGAGCTTCCTGTTTCCTGCTGCTTCCCTGAACACACTTGAAGAGAACAGGCAGTCAACTGAAGTAGTAGGAGCCAGTTAGGACCTTAAGACGCTGATATCTTCCCTCACTCAGGCCCTGCTACCAGCCTGCTTATGTGTCCCCTTCAACTGAGTGTTGAGAGCCACTATAGCTGACACAGAACAGCAGTCATGAATGAAAGAAGAAAACACCCCTCTGGGGCAGCATTCAGAAGAAAGAAAGAAAAAGCAAAGGAAGCTTTTCTATCTAAGCAGGAAGGAGCTCTCCCGAGCTACATAGACACAAATGTTCACAGTGAGCCTTCTGGCCACAGTGAGGATGTGAGTGGTGAGGAGATGCCTGATCTTCCAGTTAGTCAGAGTGCAGGTGACCTGGCATCTACTGCAGCATCCATATCTCCATCTCAAATGGATGTAACCATGCACATTCCTGAAGAAAAGTGTAGATCAGACAAGAGTGTGGTGGAGGCGCAAGAAACAGCTGCTGCTGAGTTTAGTTCCTTAAGTCTAGATGATCCAGGACTGTGGACCCACTTGAGCAGTAGCCTGAGGTACTTCCCTGTACTGCATGGGCCACAGCAAGTGAAAAACTTCCTGTTCTCCAAAGACAATGAAAATAGACGTTTCCATCCAACACATTACCGGCGTGAAATCCCCAATGGTGACAAAGTGGAGAGGCCATGGCTTATGTACTCAAAAACCCAGAATGCTGCATACTGTTTTTGTTGCAAACTCTTCCAGTCTAACGTTCCAGCCACAATGGGTGCTACAAGAACAAAGGGCTGGAAAAATCTGTCTAGAAATCTGGCATGCCATGAGAAGGCAACAAATCACCGGAGAGCACTCCATAGGTGGAAAGAGCTTGAGATGAGACTAAGGTTAAAGGCCACCGTAGATGATCAGCATCAAGAGAAGATTGCATCACAGTCTCTTTACTGGCAAAATGTTCTGAAAAGGCTCATTGCCATTGTGAGAATGCTTGCTACCCAAAACCTAGCACTGCATGGCACTTAAGATCAGCTGTATGTGCCAAACAATGGAAACTTCCTTAAAATTGTGGAGCTGATGGCTGAGTTTGATGCTGTACTCTAGGAGCATCTAAGAAGAGTCACCACCCAAGAAATGTACGCCCACCACTACCTTGGAAAAACAATTCAAAATGAGATCATACAGTTACTGGCAACAAAAGTCAAACAGAAGGTTGTGGCAGATCTGAAGTCAGCAAGATATTACTCTGTTATTCTGGACTGCACACCTGACATCAGCCATACGGAACAAATGACTTTAATGTGTTTTGTAACAACAGCAGAACCTAGTGAAAATGTCCCTGCAATGGTGACTGCCAGAGAGCATTTTCTAGAATGTATTGACATTGATGATACTACAGGAGCTGGTATGACAAATATGCTTCTTAAAAAGCTGGAAGATACGGGAATTGCGATAGCTGACATGAGAGGTCAGGGCTACAATAATGGTGCCAACATGAGAGGAAAGAACAGAGGAGTGCAGACATGGATCCAAGAGTTAAACCCTCAAGCTTTTTTTTTGTCCCGTGCAGTTCTCATTCTTTGAACTTGGTGGTCGGGGATGCAGCATCAGCTTCCGGTGAGGCTGATGAATTTTTTAATGTAATTCAAAGCATCTATGTATTTTTCTCTGCATCAACTCATCGATGGCAAATTTTAAAGCAACATCTGGGAACATCCTCTCTGACACTGAAACCACTGAGTGCCACATGATGGGAAAGTCGAGTGGAGACAATAAAGCCTATCAAACACCAAATTGGGAAGACAGATGATGCCATAGTTGCCATTATGGAGGATAATGTTGTGACAGGAACTTTTCTTGGGAGAACAATGGCAGAGGGAAATGGAATCACCAGAAACATACATAACTTCCAGTTTCTGTGTGGCTTAGTGTTGTGGCATGACATACTGTTTGAAATAAATGTTCTAAACAAGAGACTCCAAGGTGTTGACCTTGATATATCTGGAGCAATGGAACAACTGGACAAAGCAAAGTCATGCCTACAGTCTTACCAGTCAGATGAGGGATTTCAAAACGTTCTGAAGAGTGCACAGAAGTTGGCAGAGGAACTTCACACTGAAGCAATTTTCCCACCCATTCAAGAATACAAGAGTCACCGAAGAAGACGACATTTTGATTATGAGGCACGGGATAATCCCATAAGAGACTCCAAACAACAATTTAAAGTTGAATTCTTTAACCAGGTGCTAGATTGTGCAATACAGTCAGTCGAAGAACGTTTCATGCAGCTCAAGGAACACAGCAGTATATTTGGGATGTTGTAGGATATTCCAAAAACTCCTCACTATACCTGAAAAAGACCTACACCAGTAATGCAGGGCACTGGAGACAGTGTTGACACATGATGACATGGGCGATATTGATGCAAGTGATTTAGGTGATGAACTGAAAGCCCTTTCAAGATACATTTCAGTAGGATCAACTCCAAAGGCTGTTCTGGAATATATGTGAACAAATAAGATGACCACCCTCTTTCCAAATGCTATTGTTGCTCTGCGCATACTTCTAACACTTCCTGTAACAGTTGCCAGTGGAGAACACAGCTTCTCCAAGCTGAAGTTAATAAAAACACATCTATGCTCCACAATGACACAGGAGAGGCTGGTCAGCCTTCCAACCATCTAAATAGAGCATGAGCTGGCCAAGACTGTGGACCTTCAGGAATATAAGAACATAAGAATGGCCATACTAGGTCAGACCAAAGGTCCATCCAGCCCAGTATCCTGTCTACTGACAGTGGCCAATGCCAGGTGTCCCAGAGGGAGCGAATCTAACAGGTAATGATCAAGTGATCTCTCTCCTGCCATCCATCTCCACCCTCTAACAAACAGAGGCTAGGGACACCATTCCTTACCCATCCTGGTAACTTAACCTCCATGAATTTATCCAGTTCTATTTTAAACCCTGTTATAGTCCTAGCCTTCACAACCTCCTCAGGCAAGGAGTTCCACAGGTTGACTGTGCGCTGAGTGAAGAAGAACTTCCTTTTATTTGTTTTAAACCTGCTGCCCATTAATTTCATTTGGTGGCCCCTAGTTCTTATATTATGGGAACAAGTAAATAACTTTTATTTATTCACTTTCTCCATACCACTCATGATTTTATATACCTCTATCATATGCCCCCCCCGTCTCCTTTTTTCCAAGCTGAAAAGTCCTAGCCTCTTTCATCTCTCCTCATATGGGACCCGTTCCAAACCCCTAATCATTTCAGTTGCCCTTTTCTGAACCTTTTCTAATGCCAATATATCTTTTTTGAGATGAGGGGACCACATCTGTATGCAGTATTCAAGATGTGGGCGTACCATGAATTTATATAAGGGCAATAAGATATTCTCCATCTTATTCTCTATCCCTTTTTAATGATTCCTAACATCCCATTTGCTTTTTTGCCTGCCGCTACACACTGCGTGGGTATCTTCAGAGAACTATCCACGATGACTCCAAGATCTTTCTCCTGATTAGTTGTAGCTAAATTAGCC